GATGCAAATTAGGACCAGCCAAATGAAGAGATGCATAGGAAGAGGCCTGAGAGTGCATCAAATGTGAAGTTCCATGTCCTTAGAACATGTCACCGTGCTAGTATGAATTTATAATTACAATCAGGGAGGTTCTCCTGAGTCAGAGACTTTATTGGGACTTAAGTACATTGATAGGATTGATTGAGGTCAATCATGTGGCCAAAGATTCAATCTCCAGCCTCCTTCCCTTCCCCAGAAGTCAGGCTGATGTTACCTGACTCAAAAGCCCCATCTAATCACATGATTGCTATTTGTGGACTGGCCAGCCCTGATCCCGACTCATTAACTTATACTCAGGAATCGTCCAATGAATAATCAACACTCTCTTATCTCTCAGAAAATGGCATACATTTTTAAAAATATTTTATTTATTTATTTATTTATTTATTTATTTATTTATTTATTTATGAAAGAGAGAGAACATGAGCAGGGGGAGTAGCAGAAGGAGAGGGAGAAGTGGGCTGCCCACAGAGAAGGGAGCCCTGACATGGGGCTCGATCATGACCTGAGCCGAAAGCAGATGCTTAACCAACTGAGCCACCCAGGCACCCCTCTCTGTTTTGTTTCTTAAATTCTACAAATCAGTGAAACCATATAATGATTGTCTTCCTCTGACTTATTTTGCTCAGCATAATATCCTCCAGTTCCATCCACACTGATGTAAATGGTAAGATGTCATCCTTCTGATGGCTGAGTAATATTCCATTACCATTATTATATTACCTATTCCATAGGTATATATATATATATATATATGTATATATATATGAAATCTTCTTTATCCATTCATCTGTCAAAGGACATGGGGACTCTTTCCATAGTTTAGCTATTGGTGGTGTAAACATTGGGTTGCAGGTGCCCCTTCAGATCACAATGTTTATATCCTTTGAGTAAATACCTAGTAGTACAATTGCTGGGACATAGGATAGCTCTATTGTTAACTTCTTGAGAAACCTCCATACTGTTTTCCAGAGTGCTATACAAGCTTGCATTCCCATTAGGAGTTTAAGAAAGTTCCCCTTTCTGTGTATCCTCACCAACATTTGTTGTTTCCTGACTTGTTAATTTTAGCCATTCTGAGTGGGGTGAGGAGGTATCTCATTGTGGTTTTTTGATTTGTATTTCCCTGATGTTGACTGATGTTGAGCATTTTTTTCATGTGTCTGTTGGGCATCTTTTTTGTTGTTATAGTGAGAAGGTTTAAGGCTAACTCATAGCAATTTTCAAATATATGATACTGTATTGGTAACTTAGTCATGTTATACAGTAGATTCCCTGGAATTCACCTGTAAGTTTGTACACTTTGACTAACATCATACATACCCTCCCGTCCCTGGCTAAGAACCAATCTACTTCTATGGAATTCAATGGTTTCAGACTCCACATAGAAGTAATAGCATGCTATCCTTTTCTGTCTAGCTTATTTAACTGAGCACAACACTTTCAAGATCCATCGTATCAGGGACACCTGGGAAGCTCAGCAGTTGAGCGTCTGCCTTTGGCTCAGGGCATGATGCTGGGATCAGGATCGAGTCCTATATTGGGCTCCTTGCAGAGAGCCTGCTTCTCCCTCTGCCTGTGTCTCTGCCTCTGTGTGTGTGTGTGTGTGTCTCATGAATAAATACATAAAATATTTATACAAAAAAAGATCCATCTTGTCATAAATGGCAAGCTTTCCTTCTTTTTTATGACTGAATATTCTATCGTGTGTGTACATATGGATACATACACACCAATATTCCTTTGGTATCTTTAAGGATACTTCTTCTTTATCAGCTGATGGACACTTGAGTGGTTTCCATAACTTGGCTATTGAAGACAATGTTGCTATAAACATTAGAGTACTTGTATCCCTTTGAGTTAGCATTTTTGTATCCTTTGGGTAAGTACCAAAAAGTGCCATTGTTGGATTGTAGGGTAGCTCTATTTTAACTTTTTGAGGAACCTCCAAACTGTTTTCCACAGTGGCTGCACCATTTTGCATTTCCACCAATGCAAAATGCAGTGCAGTGCATGCATTCTGCAGTGTAGGAGAATTCCTCTTTCTCCACATCCTTGCCAGCATCTGTTGTTTCTTATGTTGTTGATTTTAGCCATTCTGACAGGTGTGAGGTGATATCTTATTAGAGCTTTGCATATACTCCTTTAGATAGCGGTTTCATTTCCTTTAGATACGTATCCAGAAGTGAGATTGCTGAATCACATGATAGTTCTATTTTTAATTTTTTGAGAAACCAGTTTACATTGCCACCAAAAGTGCATGAGGATTTGTTTTTCTCCACATCCTACCAGCATTTACCTCAACTTTTTGATGATAGTCATTTTAACAGTGTGGGGTGATAGTCTATTGTAGTTTTGATTTGCATTTTCCTGCAAATGAGGATTACTGATGTTGAGCAACTTTTCATGTACTTGGTCATCTGTGGGTCTTCTTTGGAAAAATGTCTATTCAAGTGCTTTACCCATTTTCAAATTAGATTATTCATTTTTTGCTATATGAATTCCTTATATATTTTGAATATTAACTCTTTATTAAATATGTGGTTTGCAAATATTTTCTCCCATTTCCTAGGTTTCCTTTTCACTTTTGTTGATCCTTCCTTCCTCCTTTTTCTTTTTTTTGCTATGTACAAGTTTTTAGGTTGAGACCATCTTGTTTGATTTTCATCTTTGTCAATTGTGCTTTTGATATTTTATCTGAAAAGTGTTGTCAAGATGAGGTCAAGGAGTCTTTTCCTATTTTCTTCTAGGATTCTTATGGTTTCAGGTCTTCTGTTCAAGTCTTTAATCCATTGTTTTTTTTTTTTAAAGGTTTTATTTATTCATTCATGAGAGGCAGAGATATAGGCAAAGGGAGAAGCAGGCTCCTTGTGGGGAGCCTGATGCGAAACTGGATCCCAGGAGCCTAGGATCACAACCTGAGCCAAAGGCAGATGCTCAACCACTGAGCCACCCAGGTGACCCGGTATTTAATCTGTTTTAAGTTAACTTTTGTTAATGATGTAACATAGGGGTTCAATTTTATTCTCTTTCATGTGAATATCCAGTTTCCCCCACAACCATTTATTGAAGAGATTGTCCTTTCCCCATTGTAAATTCTCACCTCCTTTGTGGGAAATTAGTTGACTATATATGTGTGGGTTTCTTTCTGGGATAGCCATTCTGTCCCATCAGTCTGTTTTATGCCAACACCATATCATTTGGTCACTATAGCTTTGTAGTGAGATTTGAAATCAGGGAGCCTAATGCTCCAGTTTTGTTCTTTCACAAGGTTGCTTTGGCTTTTTGGGTCTTTTTGTTTCATAAGAATTTTAGTGTCTTTTTCTAATTCTATACAAATGCCATTGGAATGTTGACAGGAACTACATTGACTCTGCAGATCATAGACAGCATGAACGTTTAATATTAACTCTTCTGATCCATAAACATGGGATATCTTTCCATTTAACTGTGTCATCCATTCCTTTCACTGATGTCTTAGTCTGTAGACCTTTCACTTCCTTGGTTAAATTTATTTCTAAATGGTTTATTGTTTTTGATACTACTGTAAATGGAATTTTTCAGTTTTTGAAATAGTTCATTATTAGCATATAAAAGTGCACCTAATTTTTGTATTTTTATTTTGTATCCTGGAACTTTACTGAATTCACTTATTACTTCTAGCAGGTTTGAGTGAAGTCTCTAGAAATTTTATATCTACAAGATCATGTTATCAGCAAACAGAGCTAGTGTTACTTCTTCCTTTTTGTTTGGATGTGTTTTGAATTTTTTTTTCTTGCCTACTTGCTCTGGCTAGGACTTTTAGTATTATGTTGAACAGGAATAGTGAGGGGCATCCTTGCCTTATTTCTGATGTTAGGTGAAATGCTTTCAAGTTTTCACCATTGAATATGATGCTACCTGTGGGTTTTTCATATGTGGACTGAAATAGGTTGAGGTACATTCCTTCCATATCCAATTTGTCAAGAGTTTTTTTTATCATGAAAGGATGTTGAATTTAGTTTAATGCTTTTTCTTCATCTATCAAAACCGTCATAGGATTTTCATCTTTCATTCTATTAATATATCACATTTATTGATTTGCATATGTTGAACCATCCTTGCATCCCAGGATAAATACCATTTGATCACTGTGTATAATTCTTTTAATGGGCTATTGAATTTTGTTTGCTAGTATTTTGTTAAGAATTTTTGCATCTATATTCATCAGGGATATTGGACTGTACTTTTTTTTGTAATGTTTTAAATTGCTTTGGAATCAGGATAATGCTGGCCTCCTAAAATGAATTTGAGAGCTCTCCAAATTTTTGGAAGAGTTTTGGAAGAACAGGCATTAATTCTTCTTTAAACATTTGGTAGAATTCACCCATGAAACCATGTGGCCCTGGGTTTTTTGTTTGTTTGTTTGTTTTTGAGAGGTTTTTGATTAAAAAAATAAAAAAATTTTTAAATGAGATTTTATTTATTTATTCATGAGAGACACAGAGAGAGGGGCAGAGACAGGCAGAGGGAGAAGCAGGCTCCCCACAGGGAGCCTAATGTGGGACTCAATCCCATCACCCCAGGATCATGACCTGAGCCGAAGGCAGATGCTCAACCACTGAGCTACCCAGGCATCCCTTGATTTCTCATTTAATCTCCTTACTAATTTATTGGTCTACTAAGATTTTCTATTTCCTCACACTTTAATCTTGGTAGGTTATATGTTTCTAGGCATGTATCCTCTATATACTCTATATAGTATAAAGACTGCTGAGTAAGAATAACCAAAAACATTCACAGGACAGGTATTGTGTATTTATGAATTTAAAACAAAAACTTAAGCTATAGAACATTAAAGATCTACATTTAATATACACATTACATGTAATATACATATATTCCTATTACATATATTTTGATATGTATACATATATTCATTTATACAAATACTATAAACATGTTATATTATATTATAAAGATATCAGTCCTCCTCCAAATTGTCCAGACAGGGTTGTTAATATTCTAGTTGTTATTGTTGATTTTTAAAAATGTTTGTGTGTGTGTGTGTGTGTGTGTGTGTGTATGTGCATATATAAATGGACAAGCTGAATCTTAAATTTATGTGAAGGAGCAATGAACCAAGTATAACCAAAAGAATAAAAGGACTAGCCCTACCATGTATTGGGACTTACAATTAAGCCATATTAATTAACAAAATGTATAGTTTGGTGCAGGGATAGATAGAGCAAATGTCAGTAATTACTGTAACAAATAGATGTTTGGGGCTGCAAATAATGGGGGAAACTAACTCAAATGGCTTAAGTGATTTAATAGGAAATCCAAAAGCAGAGTTACTTTTAGGGTTGATTAACTTTGTGGTTTGACAGCATCATAAAAAAAAAAAAGAAAACAAACAAAAACCCGGTTTCTTCTATCTTTCTGTTCTGTTATCCTCAGTGTGGTGGCTTTACCCCTTGGGCTAGTATCCCGTATAGCCACAGATGGCTGCCACAGCTCCAGGCATCATGGCAAGATTCAGTAATGTCTTCCTATGTTATTTTTTTTCTTCCTCTGTTAGAAAACCTTTCTAAAAATCCCCTAAAACATTTACTCTCGTGTCTTCATGGTCCCAGTTGCATCACTCACTCAATTCCCAAGTCAGATATACTCATTCCTGAATCAAATATTGGCAACGGTTTTGAGGTCAGCATTATTGTCTTAGACAATAAGACAGGTAGAATTTCAGGCAGAATGGATGTTGAGATGCCAACCATCAAAACAATTATGTTCATTCTGTTTGATGAGAAAAGAGTTTTTGATGTTACTCTTTAAACTTTTTCACCTCCAAAACTAATGCTGAATTAATCCATCACTAAATGAAACTCAGATGTCTTACCTAAAAACAATCATATTCAATCATCTCTTTAAATGCAGACAGTTGAAAAACTAATGTTTGTTGAGTTTCTACTAAATACCAGACACTGCGCTGAGTACACCATCATATTCAATCCTCACAAGTCTCTATTAGTTTCAGTAATTCTCTTTCCAAGGATGAAATGAGGCCTAGGGAAGGAAAAAGACCAAGATTTTCATGGAGTAACCTGTTGAGTAAATAGTACATCTTAAACTATACACTGACCTTTGAATGAGGGCCTTATTCTTCAACCCAGCCTGGGGACAAATTATAATTTGAGATACAGACTCATGTACCAAGAGGAGTTGTCAAGTATCTCCCAAGAGTAAGGTTTTCTTCTCCATGAACTATAAGAATAAGGGATATAAATTTCAGAATTCTTAGGACCTACTCTCTACTATCAGATAATGTGTTAAATTCAGAAGAAATAACTCCATCTGTCAAACCAGGCTGAAAGAATTTCAGAAATACAGAAAGTCTGTGTAAGGCAAACACTCCTGTTTGTCTCCCTTACTCTCCCACTACTACCATACTCACAATACTTCTAACACCATATGGGTGGGCATTTCACACATTCCGCAATTCTCTATGACACCAGCTGGGTGTCCAATAATTTGATTCAATTCTTACACCAACTGGAGTTAACACAAAACTCCAAGGTCAAGGGCTCAGTCCTGAGAGACGCTGCCTCCCACTTCAGATGCCGATCCCAAGTAAAACGCTCAAGATTGCCCACAACTTTTGTCTAACTTGGATACAAATCAGAGGTTCCCATGACTACTCCCCCACTGTGGATTCCATTATTTGCTAGAACAAATCACAAAACTCAGGAAAAACTTACCTACATCTACCAGTTTATTAAGTAGTAAAGGATATGATAAAGGTTAAGATGAGCTCCAAGATGAAGAACTACCTAGGGCAAGGTCCAGAAGAGTCCGAGTCCCTGTGGGATTGGGTGTGCTGCCCTCCAGCATATAAATGTGTTTATCAAACTAGAAGTTCCCTGAACCAAAACCATTGGGATTTTTTTTTATTAAGGCTTTCACATGGAGGTATGATCAAATTATCAGCTCCATTCTAAACCCCTCTCTTCTCTCTGAAGAGTGGGGAGCAAGGCTGAAAAATTCCAAGCTTCTAATTATGGCTTGATCTTTCTGGTAAACTGCCCCCCATCCCAGCCCCATTTGGGAACACAGTCACCTCATTAGAAGACTCTACTACCAACCAGGAAGTTCCAAAGAATTAGGAGCCCTAGGATGGAAACCAGGATCGAAGATCAAACATTAGAACAAATGATACTCTAGTGCTCTTCTCATTTAGGAAATTGTAAGGGTTTCAGCAAGACTATAGGAACTGGGGTCAGAAACTAAATATTAGTACATACGATTCTCCTAGTGCCCCCACTTACAGGAGTTTAGGGAGCGCTATGCTAGGAACTGGAAGCAGAGATCTGTATTTTGCATAGTTATTAGGACTATTAACCTATAGTTTGGCATCCTCATTGTGCCTGCTCATGAAAATCGACTTTCATAAACCTTGGGATACCTTAGCTTCCTTAAAGGGTGCATGCAGGAGGAATGTCAACAAACCAAGGGGACAGGGCATCAGGTGATGAAGGGCAGAGCAGCAGGGGGCAGGGGAAAAACTTTGATAAAAAGGTCAACCTGGCAGGTAAGGTAGAAACTGAATAGCCCTGTGCTGCCACGAATCACCAGGCCAGTGGTGCAAGCGTGATGGATAGGCCCCTCTGAGGCTGCCTGTGATTGAAGCCACAATGTCAAAAACAGACAGTAAACCAGGAGAGAGAAGCAAGAAGTTAGATGGTGCTGTCAACATGCCAGGGGATATGCGGCAAGGAGTATGGACCTGCATGAAGAGTGAGGAGAAACAAAGGGGGTGAGGTGGTGGATGAGTTTTTTAAATAGCCTCCAAGGACACCTGTGAGAAGATCTGGGCAATCTGATGTCCTAACAATGATGAGTTTGCAAAAAGAACTCTTATCACCTCCTTATCACCTCCCAGGAAAGGAGGCTCTCTGCTGGGACCTCGTCTATAACCCAGGTCGAACCAGCTCAGGGCCCCCACCATCTAGCAAACCCTGGAGACTCCAAGGCAGTGCTCTAGAAGACAAGAGCTGTCTCTCTAGGACCTGAACAGAAGACAAGGTAGAGTTGTGGGCCAGTTCCTCCCCATTCACCCAGGAAGGAAGGGCTGCACTCAAGGGCCACTAGGGAGACTTGGCTTTGTTCTGGAGCCACAGCTAGTAACTCCTGAGAACCGTGGGGCAGCTGCTTCATTAATTTCATCTTAAATTTTACTGTAGAAGGACAAGCCTGTTAGTCTGCAGCAGACCAAAAAATCGAAAAACGCCAGGGGAAAACTGGCCAGTCCAATGTGTTCACAATGTGCTCTGCAAAGTCCTAGGCATTCTGTGACAATATCTCAGGGATACAAGTGGGGAGTAATAGCAGGCAAGCCTCCTAGCCCTGCAGCTTCTCTTCCATGGGTGTCAAGTTACAGCTTATATTTACCAAGGACTTATATACATCAGGCAATGTGCTGAGCATTTCCATCTACTTAGTTCTTATAGCAACTCCACTGCGGATGCTCTTAATGTTCCTATTATGTAGGAGAGGAAGCTAAAGCACAGAGAGGTTAAGTAATTTGCCCAGAGTCACACAGCTAGTAACTGGCAGTGGTGGGATTCGAACAGAGCTCATCGCTACTGTGCTATCCAGAGGTCCTCTGTAAGACTTCTGGGGTTGGGAGGGTTTTCTCCCCCCACCCCCGCCATGCAAAAGAGGGTTTATTCACAGGCAGCCACCTCAAGACTGACAGCCTGAGGTTTATCAAAATCTCTGATGGCAACTCTGAAGGAGTGGGAGTCACTGCTGCACTGCAGTTTACTCTGCCATCTGTTACAATGAGGAGAATATTAAGTATTGACCTCTCGTGGATTAGGCAGGCTTTGTAAGTTTTAAGAATTTAATGTCTGAAAAGTACCTTTTGCAGTAACCTCGAGCACCTTATAGTAACCCTCCTGCAACATCAGGCTTTTTTGCTTTCTCTCGCCCAGAGCTGATGAAGGAGCAGAAGCTGATCTGAGGGCTTGCCCCAGACAGTCACCACGGAGGTCAGGGTCAAGAAGAGAAGGAAGGAGAGAAATGGGGAGACAGAGAGCTGGGGGTGCAGAGGATAAAGAGAACGCTGGATAAACATGGGAGACAAATTGATGTTGTCTTTTACACTAAGGAAGGTAACAGTTTGTCTTCTGAAGAGTTGTTGTGTTGTCATGAGACCATTGAAAGACAGCCCGGTTTTTTTCCTCCCTTGCCTATAAGAAGACTCAGTTAAATTTTATGTTTGATTTCAATCTATTTCCTTAACTTAGAATTTTGGCAAGCAGCTTTCCCCTGACAATAAAATCCAAAACTATCAAAAATGAGGTAACTGTGCCTGGTTATGAACTGGCTTTATATTCTTTTTGGGGAAGTGGGCAGAAAGTAATAAATTATTATGCTAAGATAGAAGAGAGTACACATTGGCCCAGGAAATGTGCTAAAAAGATGGGGTCCTGGCTCACCCTGGATTTTCTCAGAAACAATCCCCACTCCAGGAAACAAAGTCTGAGAAAAAAAAGTTGTTTTTTAAAAATTTTGTATTTAATTTAAAAGTGTTTAAAAATGTTTAAATTAACTTAAAATGTTGATAATACAGGAAGAATCTGAAATAAGCATGGAAATTATTAGCATCTGGGTGGTAGGCACATGGCTCTTTTTCTGTGCATTTGAAATATATCAGACTTTTGAAAATAAACTCAAATTGCTGAGAGAGGAGACCAGCTGGCATGAGAATTAGAAGCTCTGGACAGCCTGGCTTTGGGGATATAAACAGCTCATAATTTGAATCTGAAGTCGAGTGAGATTAAGGTAAGGAACAAAACTCTGAACAATCAGGAGACTGACAATTAAATCATCCAAAGACATTTATAGAGCTCTACTGTACACTTAGGACTTTTCTTGGCATTGAGGACATAAGGTTGAACAGAATAGATGCAGTCCTGAACTCTGAGCTTCTAGTCTAGGGGATGGCTAGTCAAGAAGTAAACAAATGAGTGAATAGTTATACACTGTGAGAAGTGTATCACTTGTTATGACAAGTAAGTATATAGTGTTGAGTTAGACAATGATGGGGGGGGCTTTGCCCATCTTAGACAAGGTGATTACAGATGACCTCTATGAGGAATGACTTATTTAGCTATGAATCTATTTAGCTATGAATCAAAGGAAAAAGAACAAGAGAACAATCCATAGTGAGGTCACCAGATATATACATGCCCTGAAGCAGGATTTGTTGTTTAAGTCCCAGGGCCAGAACACCACAGTGGCTGGCGTACATCCTTTGGGAGGGTGAGGAACAGAGATGTGGTTCAAGAAATAGTCAGACGCATCGTTCTGGATACGAGGGAAGGATCTGGCCTTTTTTCCAAAACAAATACGGCAGCCACTACACATCTTAGTCACAAAGGACTAGCATGTTCTGAATGTACCTTGAAAAAGATCTCTCTGGCTACTAATGTGAATTATTGACTTGGAGATTGGTAAGAGTGGAGGCAGGAAAATGAAGGAGAATGGGGATCATCTAATTGCAGCCAAATATGGTGGGTGGCACTGCCTTTTTTGTACATAAAGTTTTATTGCAACGCTACACACTCGTTTGTTTCTGTGTAGTCTATGGCTGCTCTTGCACTACAACAGCAGAGTTCAAGGGCTGAGGCAGAGGCTCTACGGCCCACAAACCCCAAAATATTGACTATCTGGCCCTTTACAGGAATGATATGTTTTCCCCTGAGTTTGAAATTTGTGGCACTAGCCCCAAAACTATATGATAATGGCCAATCAGCTTTTTCCAGCAAGAATTATTGAACATCTCCTGTGTGCTGAGGGGAAAGACAGGACCCTGGAAACAAATACTGTGCAAGACCAGATGTCTTCTTTGAGAACTGTTCATCTCATCAGATCCATCCCCTCACTTACCCTTCCATAGGCCGACACCATTCCTTTCTGAAGCTTCAAGTTTGGTTCAAGTCCTAGACTGTCCATAAAGCTTTCCCTGACTTAAACCATACTCCATATTTTCAAACTGCAGCCATAAGTATCTCCTATGTTATATACTTAGCCCCTGATTATGCTGTATATACTGATGGTTTTAGATGACCAAAACATCTTTCCCATGGTTTTGAAAACACGAAATATCCACTCGTGGTCCCCTAACCTCTGAGGTACCACTCAAGACTCTCCTCCATTGAGAAAACTCTAGTTTCAAGGGGACAGCAGTTGGTTCAGGGATAGAACATGACCCTAACAGAACCTTTCCTCCAGGGGCATCTGCCAGAATTAGTGAAAATTATCATCTCTTTTCTTTTCAGTGATGGTACTGAGAGTCTCTAAGCCTAGGATTGCCAACACCCCTGCCAAACGTGCACATTCGGGTAACACCCACTTTGCCCACCTTCAGTAAGGGGAGAGGTAATGGTGAGCGAAGCAGATGGGAGTCTGATGATTTCCCCTGAGCCCTGCATCTCACAGCACCTCTCATCCTTACTAATGACACAAGCCAATAAATCCTTACTGTTTAAGTTGATTGAGTTTCTGCCATAAATGACAGAAATACCGAAGGCTATTTCTGCCTTCATCAACTCTGCCAAAAGATGATCAAGTCAGGGCCATTTGGCCATTCTAGAACCCTCCTCCTGGTACCAGAGAAATGCAAATTGCTAGTACACTAAAAGCTGGCTGGTTGGTGGGCACATAGACCTTTTACACTTTGATCCTGGCTGTGAAGGCTTCACCTACAATTAGACTTTGCTAAGAGTAAATCTAGGGAAGTTCTAATACAAAACCAGGATACTCTACCTTTCATTATCTCTGGCGCTGGCTTGGCTATGAACTTGCTATGGGATCTTAGGTAAGTCCTTGATATCCTCAAATTTTTCCACCTATAAAATAAAGAAACTGGCCTTCCTAAACAACCATCTCCAGGCTGACTCTTGAGTTCAGGTCTGTCTGATTCCTCCAGGAAAATGTGCGTTTCTATCCCATCACTTTGGGACAAAGGTGACTTTTCACGGAGCATTATTTGATTTTGTTCTTCAAAATTTAATCTCCAAGCCACATGTAGAAGCAGGAGTCTGCTATTTACATTGGACTTCTTGTTCCACCCAGATTGGGCAGCCTCCACACACCAGGCAGGGACAGGCTAAAGAAAATGGGAACACTTTGTTTTTTTTTTTTTTTTTAATTTTTTTTAAATTTTTATTTATTTATGATAGTCACAGAGAGAGAGAGAGAGAGAGAGAGAGAGAGAGAGGGCAGAGACACAGGCAGAGGGAGAAGCAGGCTCCATGCACCGGGAGCCTGATGTGGGATTCGATCCTGGGTCTCCAGGATCGCGCCCTGGGCCAAAGACAGGCGCCAAACCGCTGCGCCACCCAGGGATCCCAACACTTTGTTTTTTTACTGTAGTTACATCATGTGTCTCATGAAATACCTTAATAGCTTCTTGAAAAATGTATCAAAAAGTATGAAAAGATTTACAAATATCTTAAGAGGCCAGCATGACCTATGATGAATTCAAATGCTGGCTGAAAATGTTGTTTTCTTGTTTTTTCCTATAGGGGCACCTTATTTATTTTTTTAGGGGTACCTTATAAAAAAAAGATCAAGATGATCTCTGGCAATGGTTTCTTATTTTTGTCCTTAACCACATTTCTCATGATCTCTGTTAGTCATGGACTAGCCTAGCTGTAATATAGGTCAAGATCATCACAGTGTCTCTCAACTAGGGCACCATTAACATTTTAAATGAAATTTTTCTTTGTGCTTCAAGGTCTCCTGCATGGCAAGACTTTTACTCTCCCAGCTAAATGCCAGTAGTACAGTCCCCTATCATCGTGACACACAGTCTGAAAAGACTCTTATTCATTTCTAATAACCTGAAGGGGGTAGGTGCTACCTCCTATCAAGCTCTTATTTTACAAACAAATCAACTGGGGACCAAAGATGTGACAGGATTTTCCAAGATCACACATGTGAGATAGGACTGAAAGAAGAATCTGAAGTCACATATTTTGATATCTAATCCCAATGATCTTTATACTATCTAAACCCATCTCAGATAGCTGTGGGTTTCAATTTATAGCTGATGCTATTATAAAACTTACAACCAAGCTATTAATATTAATACCAACACCAATCATTACCTTCCAATTATACTTTGATTGCAATTGATACATTCTAAACTATAGTTCAGCAAGTTTTATCATATTCATGAGGGTCTTCATTACCATATGCAGCTCATCATACTTGCATTTGTTAGTAGACAAGAAATAGCCTATCAGAATCCAAAAGCAGCCTTCTAATTCTTGCTCATTGGCTGGCCCCCAAGGAGCAGAGAAAGGAACTCTTGGGCATTCACCCAGAAGGCAGTGATCAAAAGATTCAGGAACTGAAGAAGCTACTTTGTCCATGAAATTCTAGTATTTCTGACATTTGGAGCACCATTTGGTCAATGCTAAGGTCTTCTCCTGAGTTGCTCCTACTGAGTGATTCCATAAATGGTCTAGAATAAATAGAGGGGGATGAGTCTAAGTTTCTAGCAGTAATCAGGTATTAGGGTGAAATCTGCTCTTCCCCTGTCCATTATACATCCCCAAATCCCACCCTCTTACTAAGTGCCAGAGGAGTTAAACAGGTAAGAAAGATGTTACATTTTTACAGTAACTGGTGTTTGCACTGCACTGTCTTGCTACAATAGAGTTGCTGCCAACAAGGATGGAAAACCCTGCTTGATATCATTGGTCTTAGATGCCTCCTCACGCTCATGCACGCCAGATCCATCAATATTATAGGAAGGTGAAAAAGGACAGTGCCTCAGGACTCTATGTTCTCATGGTATTTTCAGAGCAATTCATGAGCCTCTTTTAATGCATTTGCCTCCTCCAAGATGTGCTTCAGACAAGCTCATATGATCAATGATCGAGCGATGCCCGGTCACTTTTTCAGAGTTCGGTAGACCAACAGGTCTGGAGTTGCATTTTAATAGCATCTCTCTTACAATCCAGAGTCCTTTTTTTTCTACAGAAGAAATTTGAAAACAAAAAATAGATTGACTCCAAAGTTTAACTCAAGAACAATGCTAAGGTCCCAAGTTTGTATACTTTTTACCCAAAAGCATTTAAAGCAGTAAATATAATGTCATAGGAATGCCAATTTATAGATAATAACCACTGACGGGAAATGAAAAATAAATGTGGGTGTATGTGCACGCAAACCTCAAAAAAAATGTAGTAGTGGCAGAGAGTTTTCTTTTTCGTTCTTAGTGTTATTAGAAACTCATTAGGAGTCAATTACCATTTAATTTCTCTACAATATCCAATTATGGTTTTACTGTCCAAATGTTCCTGCATATCACATAGGCCATTTAAAACTAAAATTTTGCTCCTCCCATCCCGCCACTGCCACCACCAAAAGAGGGTCAATTTTGAAATACAAGTTCCAGATGTCCCTTTTTTATTTTTGACATTTATCTTCCAGGGAAACCAGAGAAACTAGCTGAGTCCTATAAAAATGCTGGTGGCTAAACACAAGGATGCCCTCTTAATCTCCCCTCCCTTTGTAAAACTGAGAGTTATCCAAAGTATTTAGCCAAATCCATTCTTCAACAAATATTTGTTGCAAACAAAGAAAAGGCATACAGAAATACTTTGAGCAAGAAAGAAACCCCACATTTGTGAGGCGGGGGGAAAGACCCTAAAAATGCTAGAAATGATGGAGTTATAAATCTGACATTATAGTTGGTAAAGTTATGCAGTACAGAAATGCCTAACTATCCCCCCCCCACACACACACACACACTCCCAACTTACCTTCAACTCTTGCCTATGAAGCAGGAGTAAAACTGCAAAGTAAAACTTTGTGATGGAGGGTGGGGGCAAATAACTTGGAAGCAAATCAAAATAACAGAATCAGACAACAACCACTAAGACTGACCTTCAACTCAATTATTTGTCCTCCGGGGATGAGGAGCTCTCAGGACACGGTATTGGTAAATACTCTACTGGCATAGATTTGGTCTGCTTAAACATAACATTGCACATTGCTCCTTGCCACTCTTCTTCTCCTCCCAGGACCCCATCTTTATCTCAAGAGGTCCCAATCTGAAAATATTCAGAGAGAAGGGTGTTGCCTTGTCACAAACTACAGATGATAAAGAAGATGTTATTTTTGAAAACTCTGTCCACATTTTGTCAAGATTTCCAAGTAAAATGAATCAACTTGATCATTTTGGTGCCAATATTTTTGGCCAATAAAGAAAAAGTCCTCTGACCCTAGATAGTCAAAATTCCTCAAGCAATATTAAACCCTTTTTGTATTCCCAGGAGACAAATGTTTGTGAGTAGAGATGCCCAGGCAAAGCATACCTTGTGCCTGAGGACCAAAATTTTTCTATATAAATATAAATATACAACACATGCTTAAATATATACACACACAAGTGTACACACAAGCGGGATGATTGTTCAGTAAATCTCAAGGGCAGAGTAGAAGATGTTTTGGAAGAGTGGTTATCAGAAATGTTGCAGATGAAAAAGGCAAGACCTAACAAAGATTCTCTCCCTAACCAAATGTCAGACTTCTTAAAGCCCTTTTTCATTAGGCCTCATCCTTGGGCCTTGTTTTCAAGTTCAAGAACCCCTTACCATTGTAGGGGAGCTGATCATCTGATCAAATTCCTCATTCCTCCTTATCCCCAGGTGATACCTGGTCACTCTGGCCCACCTTCAGCAAAACTCGCGTGACATTGACTTAGCCAGGAATTTCCTGTTAGTTAATTTCCCATCCACTGACCACACCACGCCCCTCCCCCACCACACCTGCTCTTTTGCTCTGAATCCCCACTGGTTTGTGTTCTATTTGGAATTGACAGTTCTGTACTGAGGTCTTGGTCCCCTATTGCCGTAGTTCCTGAGTAAATCTGTTTTTATTACTTTCACTACTGTTTAGCTCTGGTTTGTCTTGACAAAAAAAAAAAAAAAAAAAAACAAAAACAGAAGTGCAACAATTTAAAAAAGCTTCTATAGAAAGGCATCTCTGCAGTGGATTACATGTATGTGAGCACCTTCTTTTTTTGTTGTTGTTGTTCTTTTTTTTTTTTTTTTTTGCATCAAATGACCTTTAATGTTCAAAAGAGGCATGAATGTAAGTGTGCCTTTTCTTTTTGTTTTCAAATATTAGCTCAAAAATCCTAACTCTGTCTCTTCCACAGAAGGGGGTGATGGCTACATAAATTCAGGGTTTCCTATGGTTCCTATGCTCCAAGTCTTAAAAGTGGCTCTTCTTTATTCAGAGAGGGAACCAAACTGGGGGAGGGGAGGGGAATACTATCCCAAGTAACTGATCTAAAAGATACTGTCAAGGTGGTCAGGTCACTTTGAGCCTAGTTGCTTCAAATTTTTTTCCAACCTAGAAAAATTCCACTAATTTTTCACTCATCAGTGAGGTTCAGAATGTTACCCTAATAAATCTTTCTCTTCATCATCTTAGCAGCTACTAAGAGTAGAAATAAACATTTGGAAATAGTTTTAACAACAAAATCCAGGGGAGTTATCTGTGATTTGAAAATGAGTCAAGGAAAAAGGAAATTTTTAATGATGTAGGAAATGCAGTTCAACCCAGAAAATGCCAATCCCCATGCATTCTGGTTTATTAAAGATGTGGAGCTTGAAATTGTCTTATAGGATAAAAAGCAGTGACATCAACTAGAAAGGCAGTGATGAGCATTTGGATTCTAGCCTCTATTCTGACAATTTTGGCAGAACACAGGGCACTCACAGGAAATGGTAGGAGCTATACTTGGAAAGGGGGGTGAGGGGCAGAATGGACCATCTCCTGGGCAAGGTAAGCCAAAGACTTTGAAGAAAGGGAAGGTCTTGATTGGGGTTGGGATTTAGAAAGCTCTCTGGAAGAGCTGGTCTTTGATGAATTGACAGAGGGAAAACATAATAGACAGAGAACACAGTTAGGAGGCTACTGGGATAGTGCAGATAGCAGGAACTCAGGGCCTGAACCAGACAAGGCAGCAGGCAGGTGAGAGGATGGATCCCAGAAAGCCCTAGAAGGAGAAGCAAGACAATAGGCTTGGTTTGGAACACACTGTCTTCCATGAATGGCATTTGGACCAGAACTGTTTGAACAATGGGGTGTGACAGTGAAAATGAGTAACAAGTTATTGGAAATAAAGAACCAAAGAATCAGACCTAGCCAAGATTCACTGAGCTCCTGCCAGGCACCAGGCCCCTTTAACTATATATGAAGTATCGAAACAGAAAATTCATCAATACAATTAAACATATGCTACCCGTTGCAAGAACCAAAAATCCCAAACAGATCTTAGGAGCATCCCTACTCAGTCAGCCAAGCCTGGAAATGGCTTCATGTATGTCTCCCTCACTTGGAAAACTCTTGCCCCATGTACTTGGCTTCCTCGGTGGCAGTGTCTGGCTGGTGGCTAGGTTAATCCAATAACCTAGCACCTCTTTCCTGGGTGAGGGTATTGTTAGCTCATAAATGCTGCAGCTGGGCCCAAGGGTCAGCTTGCCCTGACCCTGAGAAGGTTGTATTCCGCTGCTTCCCTTCAGCCCATCTCCTAGTCAGTCATTCCTCTGCCTTGATAATAGCCCCTCCCCTATCTTCTCCCCCATCTTCACAGCCCCCAAGCTGGAAGAAAGGTCTTCCTCTCAGTCAAGATTTCTAAAAGACTCAGACTACAACCCTCAGGCTTATTTCATTTCACTCACTCATCTGGTTTAGGCAACCATGAGCTTTCCTCCCTTTGTCCTACTCTCTACTTAGTAAAACTTCAAGTTAAAAATAATGAAACCATCCTAAGTGCCCAGCAACATTGTGATTGGTTAATAAATTATGGATCCTCCATGCAGTCAAGCACCATTGACACTTGAAATTTCAACAAAGCTTACCTGCTTATGCAAATATGGAACAATCCCCCCATTCTCAGTTAAATGAAGAAAAAAGCAAATAATGTGCTTTACCACCATGTGAGCCAGGAAAGGGGCTCTGTGTACTTGTATCAAATAACTCTGGGAGAACACTCTTTTTGAGTTACAAGCAGTCAATCTCAGAACATAGTCTGAGGTTTATCCCAGTAGGTTTGGGACATTCCCAGTAGGTATGTCCCATAAGTTTGTCCCAGTAGTGGGTGAGTTGGAGGAAAACAAAACTTACAAGGAAATGAAAGATTCTAGTCACTACTTGACTTCTATCCTATGGAAATTGGTAAAAACAAGTTTTCTGTTAATGTCTTGTTACCAGGATACCATTTTTCCAATTACTCACAAAGAGCAGAGATTATTAACCCTGTGATTTTATTCCAGCGGGACTATTCAAAATCGCACTTCCTGCCATTCACGGAGGTTAAATAATGAATTACGAATGGCACAATGGTAATGAAATTCTCAGAATGAACTTCTGTAAGCTCCAAATAGGTTTTCTTGGGAGGGTGGAAGGGGGCAAAGAAAGGAAAGGCAAGTATTAATAGTGTGAAGGTCTGATGTACTCAATTTGATTTTGGAGAACAGTAAAAAAGGCCCAGAGCCTCTGAGAATTTACTCTAATTCCACTCAACAAACATGAAGCCACAGTGTCTGGAAGATTTTAGAATTAAATGCAATAGGAACCAATTGCAATGGTGCCTGCTATTGAATTACCTTCGGAAGAGCCTGTTTCGAATTTCCACCAAAATAGGATGTGTCGCCAAACTCTGACCTCAGCAGCTTTCCCTGCACAGAAAGAGAATCAGTCTGGAAATGCCTGCCCTGCCTCATTATCCCTTATACTGAGTTCATGGAAGGTGGGCAGGGGCAGCGGAATCTGTGAGGCCCTCAGGTGAGTCCACCAGTTGCAAGTCATTGAGAGTAGAAGGTAGTACAGCCAGTCCTAGGAGTGGCTGAAAGCTGAGTTGGCGCTCTGATTACTTACTATACCAGTAAGCCAAGTAAAAGCCATAGCAGCCCCTGAGAGCTTGTCAAAAATGCAGAATCATGGGCCCTACCCCATACCTTCAGAATCTGCATTTTAACAAGATCCCCAGGTTATTCATATACAATTTGAGTTGCACTAAGGTTAAGTAGCAGTCATGAGAAATACTTGCTGCATTGAATACAAAGCAGCCAGAGGTGCGGGGTGGGGGGAAGCCCTCCCTTTTCAGCCTAGACTTGCAAAATGTTCAAAATGTATTATTTTCTCAAATTTTGGGATGGCACTGATGCTTTGGAAAGATACTCCTGCAGAGAAGCATGGCATCCCTACTTCACCCTGTGCCAAGGGGTGGAAGGAATAGAAAGAATGCAATGAAGGTTCTGAGTTGTAGATCTGACTTCTGGTCACTCTGACTGTTGGAGCATTTGTTCCTCATAAACCCATTCAGCTCCTCTTCCTCGGGGCAGCCTTCCAGCTACTGTTCTCTAATTAAACATCCCAACTCCTCCTAAGACATTGTTCCAAATCTCTTCGGTAGGTTCATGTGGTCTTTAAGGAGCAGCACCTGGACTTGAATTCTGTATTCTGGACATGGAAGAGAGCAGAACTTCTCTGTTCTGTGGCTGTTTTGCTGGCTCTCTTTTTCAGAAAGGAAGTAAAAGGAAGGCATGATGGTGCAGGGTGATTTATTGAGATACAGTTTATGTTCTGTTCTCCTTACTTTGACCCAGTCACAGGACCTTTGTATTCCCATACTTTTGGGGAGGTTTGCTTTGCAAAATTAAGAGCAGAAGTTGCTCTCAGAATATTCTTGACTCTTGTTTTCCAGGATCTTATACTCCTTGACAGACTTGTGGGGTGGCAGGAAGAGCAGAGAGATGGGATAACCCTTGAAGCAGAATGGTTGAAGCAAAAGAAAAAAAGAAGAGATGCAAGAGTGAAAAAGGGGTGGAGGTAATCCTCAAGGTAGTGGAGACCTTTGCCAGTATGGTGCTTAAGAGAGGTGGCATCCCATGCACCTGGTCATATTAAATTTTCAATAAGCAGTGGATATATTGCTTAGGCTATGGTTTAAAACCTTGAGCTCTAGAGCCAGAACATCTGGGTTTAAACCCTGGTTCTGTGTGAGTCTGTTACCCTGCCAACATTTCAATTTCTTTATCTATAAGATGGGGATAATACATTCTAAGTGCTAATTAACTATTATACATTGAGGAAGTTGACATGAAAACATTTGACAAAATTAAACACATCATAAAAATGTAAGTCATCATTATTAAGTACTTGGTATTTCAGTTGACTTGAAAAGAAATTTCCCCATTTCTTAAAATAAATTAAACATCTGGATCTAAACATACAGAATTATAACAACAAAAGGAGAGAAAACATTTACATCCACAGATGGAGAATATTACTTATTTGGGCCTAAAAATAACGCAAAACTGCCATATAACTTGGATCCTGTTCCATAAATAATCATAGGAAGATTAAGTGATAGAGTGTTAAAGTACAGTATTCAAAGCTTCTTTTCTGAATATACATCTGAATACGAACATCTTTAAAATTAAAGTTTTCCTTCATCTGCCAGGCAGATGATACAAAGGTCTAATCAATAATTCATCCTGCCAAAGAAACTCATTACTCAGCCAAGGCGATGACGAAAATCCTGTCAAGAAGCCTTGTTTTGGCTAAATAAGACAACTTAATTTAGTGCAAAGTGAATAATCCAAGTCTAAATCATTCATTCTGGGATTAAACATTATGGATTTCTCCATTATATATGCATCCCAGGCCTGGACAAGTATTAACTTCTGTACTGCTTGGCCCAGAAGGATGGCCAACCCAGTGTTCTTGGAGCCTCTTGAAGCTCCCAGGTCTGCCGGGCAGAACAAAAGCCAAGTAAAGGAGAGTTATGGAGAAGCTGAGAATTTAGAGTTGAAAGTCCTCAAAGTCAACCTTTCACATAGCCTGGGTGTCCCCCCCATAACTACTCTGAACGCTGGTCATCCCCTTCTATGTGAATACTACTGTGAATGGATAAGTTTACCAGCCATTTTAGTTAAAACTCCTTACATTTAAAATAGCAGAAAACCGAACTCAGACTAGCTTAAGCAAAATGGCAATTTATTTCCTCATATCCTATAGCATGAACAGCCTAAAATTGTACTTTCGGTCTTGGCATGACCTAGGCTCAACCAATGTCATCAGGGTTTGTTTCTTATTCCCCTATCTGACTTCCACTTCCTCTTAAACGGTCTCCCATTGTGATGGCACAGTGACAGTGGCAGCCTCCCATTCTTTCCTTCACAGTCAGTGGGAAAAGATCAACATCCTGTGTAACTGAAACAAAAGGCTTAGAATTGGGTCTTTGGGGCTCTAATTGGCCTAGCTTGAGTCTTGTGTCCATCCCTGACCCACTCATTAGTGCAGAGAGTAGGGTAGGGTTATACAGTGGTCTGATTCCCCAGGTTCAGCTTACGTGTTGTGGTTGGATAGAGGATAAGTCAGGTGCAAGGGAACTACAAATAATGAAAGGGCAGAAGGGAAGTTTCAAAGAAATCAGTCCAGATGGAAAAGAAGAACAAACGAATGCTAAATAACCAAAAGCCTACTCAACATAGTATTCGAAGTTATTCTGGTAAAGCATTCCTTTGGCTAGATAGAAATTGATTTTTGGAATTTAAAATTCTCAGTCCTAAATTTGCCTTCTGAAATATTTTTGCTTTGTGATTACATAGAACAAGACTACTTCCTCTTTCCAGTGGCAGTTCTTCAACTGTTTGTAAACAGACATCAAATCTCCCTTGGTCTATTCTCCTCCAGGCTACATGTACCAACATACCAGGAAGTAGACTTCTGGTATTGGAAATAAATCAATGCATACTATTAAGTAGACACTAGAATCTTATTGTGGAACTAAATATGGTTTTGTTCTGTTCATTCTTGTTTCAAAGAAAATGATTTTATTAATAAATTTGATAATGATCAGCATTGGCAAGGCTATTGGGGAAATACACATTTTTAAGATCAATGAGTTCTGAGGATGTTCATTAGGTAATTTAGAGTAACCATCAAAGACACAAAAAGCCTGAACAAAATACTTTTCAATGTCCTTTAAAATATCGAAGAGCTAACAATATAATGAAAAATCACTAGGCCTAAAACCAATGTATATGCTAAATCAGAATGTAAAGTCTAGAACTCAAAGCTGCCTTTGTTTTGGAAGTCTTTCTAATCTGGAAGAAATATCTGCAAAATTGACTTGTAGTTTTGGCTGCCTGTGGTTAGATGAAAAATGTCAAGGTGCAGAACTCCTCAAAGTTAAGGACTTTGATAACCCATACTCAGTATTAGCTAGGTCAAAAAGGGCTATTCCCTCAGGATAAGGATGAACCAGCAGTCACTCTGGTCTCTCATGAATTTACAATCTGGCTTCAAGTCATCTAAGTAATCCATGGAACTTTAAGCAGTAAACCTGAGTTATGGTGGACCAAGACTGATGACACACAAAAGTGCCTGACAGAAGCAAATGCAAGTTCTTTCTGGAGAAGATCACAGTATCCTGGAACTCAAATTAGTCCTACAAACAATTTTCAAATGCAATAATCTTTATACAATCAAGATGACCAGGCACACAGAAAAATAAGATGCCATGATAAGAATATGAGGAGACAAAGGACAGCAGAAACAGAGCCCAACACACCCCAAAGAGTGGAATCATCAGACAAGCATGCTTAGTATTCTCAAAGACATAAAATTAAATTTGAGTTCCAAGTCCATTCAATGTAGAAAAGTTGCATCCCTTTAATAGATGGTGCTAGCACAACTGGATTCCACATTCAAAAAAATAAAATTGGACTCCCTACCTTACACTATATACAAATCAAAGTGAACCAATGATCAAAATATAAGATCATACCAAAACATGCTTAGAAGAAAACAGAACTATATTTTCATGACTTTGGATTTAGAAATAGACTCTTAGATGTCACACTAAGATAACAAGCAACTAAAGAAAATTATACAAAATGGACTTGATTAAAATTAAAAACCTTGGTCCAAAGGGCATTATCAAGAAATTGAAAGATGACCTATAGACAAGATTAAGCCAAAGCCAACCCTTGGGCATGTAGGGGAAGCTGAGGATAGAGGCAGAGGGTAAGAATGTTCTGCGGTTGATCATGGTGAACGAAGAAAGAGCAATACCAGAGCTGAGCACAGAGTCCAAAGACAGACGAAGGAAAATCAGGGTCAGAATCCAGGAAATTGTAGCAGGGCAGAGCAGTTAGGAATCAGTCTAGCTACCATGAGTACTGTTTGAATGTGAGACTCTGAGACACACTCTCAGAGGCTCCATAGCTCTCTGCTTTCAGAACTCCACTGAGATCATAAAAAATTCAGGTGGTAGGGCCCAATTCCAACTCACTGAATCAGTATCTCTAGGGGGTGGACCCAGGTATTTGCATCTTAACATGCCCTCAGATGATTCTTAGGCTAATGTATGAGACCTCCAGATCAGAGGACATATGTGCAGCTCCTGAGATAGACCAAAATCCCACAGGCTCAACATTCCAGTTCTGCAAGCACACTGTATGTATCCTCAGTGAGGGACTTTGCAAGTCCTGCCAGCAACTTCCAATTAACAGAGACTTAAAACTGGGGCTGCAGAGTGAACTAAGGACAGTGCCTACTAGTTGTAGAGCACCTACCCTGTGCCAAGGCACTAGGGCTGCGGCATAAACTAAGGACAGTGCCTACTAGTTATAGAGGACCGATCCTGTGCCAAATCTTGTGCCAACTGGTACTGCTCTATTTGATGCTTTACTGGCATTACTCCATTTAGTGCTTACTTATGAGGGTCCCAATACTATTCCATATTTACAAACGATAAAGCTGAGACTAAGAGAAGCCAAGCAACTTGTCCTGGGTCACCCAGCTAAGTAAGAGTAACTTCAGGTTCTAGGCCAGTTTGACTCCGAGACCTG